CTCTCATTCAAACACACATACATCAACAAGTGCTTTAAATAAATTCACTTGCATGTTGGGAAATGAAGAATTTATTTTCTGTAATCTTAGATGCTGTTGGAGAACTTTTCTTTTGTATAGACTAGATCAGTTGAAGTTCTGTTTTCTGCAAATGTTGTAGCAGTGACCAGGCATTAAAAAAAAAAAAAGGTGAAAAGTGCAGTTGCCCATCACATAACTTCATGGTGGTAAGAACTGCATGTAAACCAGAAGTTTACACAACATACTTGAGCTTGAGTGTAAGGGTTTTTTGAGCTACAAACTGAACCTTAAAAAATATTACTTTATCTGCCTTTTGGCTTCATATTTATACTGCCATAATTTCCTTTAAAATCGAAGTTTTTACACTGTTGAAAGTGCTGTGCAGGAGAATCTCCTGAAAAGCAAACAAATGCCAATCTTCTTTGTATTTGATGATTGTATTGATATTCTCCCCTCTCTCATTAGAAATGTTGGATAATGTGGAGCTGGGTGAGACAGCCCATAAGAAAACTGGGACCACAGTGCCTGAATCCATCCATTCCTTCAGTAAGTTCCTGTGCAAACCTCATACATTTTACATTATGGGCAACTAGTTCATAAATCAGCACCTTCAGCGCTCTACAGATGACAGCTATCCAAGATGGGGCAAAAAGGGGTTCTCTGTCAGCATAGATAAGAACTTGTAACTGTCTGCTCTCTTCTCTAATTAAACCCAGTAGCTTACAGCGGTTTGTGTGTCAACTGTTCATGGCAAAAAAGTAACTGCATCACAGATTGTTTTGATCATTGTTGTGCAAATAAAGTCTAAACGTTGTTTTCACTTCTGTCTTCTAGTAGGGGATGGGTTAGTGAAGCCAGAGGCTCTCAATAAGAAGGCTATTCAAATTATTAACAGGGTTCGAGATAAACTCACTGGTAAGTGTATACTTTCTAAAATAAAACATTGTAAAAGTAATACAGACATTAGAATTATGTTCAGGTTTAAGAGCTTGCCTGGCACTATCATATTTCAGTTTTGTGCTAGTTCTTCATAAATTTTATTTCAGATTATCCTGTTTCTTAATTGGGCAGAGCCATTTAATATATTTGGGCTTTGTAATTTGTATTCTGGAAGGCAATCTTACTTGGAAAATGTAGAGGTAATTTTAATTAATGTGTATCAGATCTGACCAGTTCATCTTTTAGGTGATGATTCTAAATCAAATCTCCAGCAACCGGCTTTCCTTTTACTGGCTTTGCAACTGGAAAAATTTAGATGTGACATTTTAGACTCTTAATGATGTATATAAGAACCACTAGAATTAGGTACTTAATGTAGCTAGGCAGTGGATTCCTTCTACTAGGAATTTTTAATAAGTACATTACTTTTGTCTGTTTGAAGGAGAGGGTGGGGATAGAGAAGATGCTGATGGGTCATCGAAAACACTTGTGTTCTAAAGGGTTCAAAATAGACACAATGTGGCTTTTGAGGTTTTGTCTTTGAACAGTTCTATGCCAAATATATATTATAAGAGGACAGAAAGTCATCTTCACATTGCTCCACAACTTGCCAACCAAACCAAACTATGTAATTTGGCTTACGGCCTTCCTTAATGTTTCTTTCACTTTAATTGTAAAGGTCGAGACTTCTCTCATGATGAAACTCTGGATGTACCCACACAAGTAGAATTGCTTATTAAGCAAGCTACTTCCCATGAGAATCTCTGCCAGTGCTACATTGGATGGTGAGTTTGTCTTTAAACTAGCCTTCCAAATGGAGAACAGTCAAGTAAAATATCATTACTCTTATCTCCGTAATCATGCTGAGGATGGCTGAGTAGACATTGTGTCTAAGCTTGTAAACTTTTGTGACCATTTTGTTAGGTTACCTTAGGCAATCTGTTATAAATAGAAAAGGGGATTATTTAAATCAACTCAGAGGTTATACGCATTTGAAATAAGATGTTCCAATTGTATGTATATCACCAATTGCTAGTTATGGTAGGGAAATTCCATACTCTAATGTCAACAAGTACACTTTTATAATGCCTTCATCTTTCTTAGATTTCTTAACTGTAGGTTGTATTCGAGGAACCAGAGGATTTGGGGGGTTTCAGACATTAGGAGTGTTGATCAGGGATCAAGAAGTAGGCTCAGGCATGGGTCTTTTCCATCCTCAGTGTCCTTGTGATTCTAGAAAGGCTTCTGCACATTAGGAGACCTCAGTCCTTCTTAACATAGTCTGTTTTTATGAAGCGATGGGTAAGACTGGGCTATTAAAGTATGCTTTTGCCATCTTTAGGTGTCCTTTTTGGTAACAGAAGATTCCAGAGTATCCACAGCCTTTATTGGAGGCTTTTGCGCTCCAGATATATTCTTCTACAAACTGAAATCTTGGACTGAAATACAGCCTGTCAAATATTTTGAAATGTAAATTAAGAGTTATTGTATATTAAAAGTTGGTTTAAGCCAATTCATAGCTGCTGTTGAAAAACACAAGTTGTCTGAAACATAAGACTTGATTTGGGTTTCCAGAACAATGAAGACTGACTAGACCACAAATATATGGTTCACTTGGTCTTTGGGGAACTGGTGACCCATTACAAATAACACAATACGGGTTTTGACTTAACTTACAATGTAACTATACTAAAATATTTGCAGATGAATCATTGCCCTGGTCAGTCCTGTTGGTGTGGCTGCAGTGAACTCAGTGCACTCATGCAAGAATCCTCATTTAAGTGTGGGGACAGAGTTGGAGGGTAGAGAGCAAGAGGAAAGAAGCAGAGTTTTTCTGTCTGTATTACCCCATTATCTCTCCTATCCCAAAACTCTGTACACTCACCCAAAATCAGAGGGAGGGGATTGTAGTTGAAAGGTTTGTGTCTGACCCCAGTGGTGATGTAACCAGCACATTTCAGACTAGATCTGGATATAGGGGTAGATCCAGGATCGAAGACTCTGAGCCAGTCAAAGCAGGGTGGCTCAAAGAGAGTTGATCTATGGCAAGGAGGATGCAAAGTAAACTCAGAATACCACTTGCGAGCTTCCCACACTGGCAGACTAAAGAGCAGTATTGGGAATTAGGGAAAACTGAATACTCAGCACAAAAAGCAGAAGGGAGGAGAACTGATCATACCTGGAAATGGAGAATAATGGATATTAAACATGAGGGTGAAGGTAAATAAAGTTATGATTTATTAATAAAACAAAATGCACAAAATACAAAGCGTAGCCATGTTTAGATGCCATGTTGTATTTGAATATTTTTGTGCCAATAAATTACACCAAAATGTGTAAAAAGATTTTGACTGGATTCATATTTATTCCAAAGCACTCCTTATGGGGAACAGAATTGAGGCACAGCAGCATCACACTAGCACAGCAGAACTATGGGTTGGGACCCCAAAGTGGGTCACAAACCCTTTTTAATGGACTTGCTGGGGCCAAACCCCGAGACCCACTGCCTCGGGCCAAAGCCTAAGGACTTCACCCCTGGGTGGCAGGGCTCAGGTTACAGGCGTCCTGTCTGGGGCTGAAGCCCTTGGGCTTCGTCTTTGGCCTACCCATCCGGGCAGTGGGGCTCAGGATTTGGGGTTGTGTAGTAACCTTTCATTGTCCAAAGGGGGTCACAGTGCAATGAAGTTTAAGAACCCCTGGCAGAAACCCACAGAAGGCACAAACACCGTTGGTAGTGGATTGGATCTCTCTAAGAAACTTGTGTTTTTTTTTGTTATGGGTTTGACTGTCTTCTCCTATACCAGTCCAGATGGCTGGCTATAGCTCCTTCATGACAGCAGGTGGAGAAAAACAGTCAAGATTGACTACCTGTATCAAAGGAGTTTGCCCGTTCATAAATCTTTTTGTTTTAGTTTCCAGCAATTGCAACTATATCCTTAAGTGGGCTGCAATTTGGTAAGAACATGAACTTTCTTTATTCCAGTTTTTTGGGCATTTTTCTTCTCTTAGCACAAGAAACTGATTCTGTGAGACTGAAGAAATAGAATTTTAATCTGATCGCTGTGGTGTGTATTTGGAGGGATGATGGTTTAGATGATGTCTCTTCCCATCAAATGTTTTGTATTGATATAGATTCAAAGATGTTACGGTTAGAAGGGCCCATTATAATTTTGCCTCCTGTATAACACAGGCCATGGAAACATATAGGAAATCCAAAGTGTCTGGACAGGGATAGAGGGGAAAAAAGGTTTTACCTGTTTTGATTTTGATTATTCCTGCTTTGAAATAATCAACTCCCCCAGACTGTATACTGGTGGAGGAATGTCAGCGGTAAAAACTTGAGCTGTAGTCTCCATCTGCTGGCAGATTGAAATTTATGCCACAAATCTCTGAACCAGTGTAGAACAAACTCCACAACTCAAAGCCAGCTAACAAATGTGACTGGTTATCTCAGGCTGTAGTCTAGTCAAGATTAGACGAGGCTTTCCTAGGAAATGTCCATTTACTCCAGGAGTCACGCTGGATAGCAGAGCGAATAACCTCTCCTCAACTGAAGTCAAGCCCCTGACTGGAGTGCTGAGTTTTAAGGGGTGGGTTCAGGCTCATGGCCCGACTACAGCAAGGGCAGCATCCAGGACCCTACAGCGTGGGGGGCAGTCGGCTGCATTGGGGCCCTGGACCTTGGCAGGGAGAGCGCCCCACTCCCAGGGACAGCAGCAGGCTTTGGGGGGGGGGTGAGTTTGAAAGGTAGTTTTGGGATGGGGAGGGTCCGTGCCGGGGAGGGGGGCAGCTAGTGCTGGGATGAGCGCCCCCAGAGCACGCTGCCGGCAACTGTGGGGGAGGCTCCGGGCCCATAAGGCGGACAAGTAGCTCGCCTCGCTCAGCCTCTCTGAGGTAAAAAGAGGGAAAGACCCAGAAAGTTATAGGGCAGCCCCTGCTCTCCCCGCCGTCTCTCAGTGCGTGCGCATGCGTCTTGCCGCACTTCTGCCTTCCCTGCCAAACCCCCCCCCCCCGCCGCGGTTCTGTTATCGCGCGAGACTAAGCTATTGTCGCGTCACGTGGGTCTGTGTCGAAGATGGCGGCTGCCGGCGGACTGGGGAGTCGTAGCGCAGCAGTTCAGACGGGCCAGATAATGGACACGGGGAGTGGCGGCGCCACCGAGGAGCTGCCGGGGGGCTGCTCAGACACCGTGTTACCGGGGTTCAGGGATGCCGACTCCTTCGTCAAGGTACGTGAGGGAGCCGCCGCAAACTACTACTCCCGGCGTGCTTTGCGACACACACACGCCGCAGCGGGGCATGCTGGGGACTGTAGTTTCTGCTCGCGGTCCTAGCTGATGCTGAGGCCTGAGGGGACGCTCTCTACACTGTGTTTCCCAGCATTCTCCGTGCCCGCTGTAGCGGGGTTTGGGCGGCCGAGATCGAGGCGGAGTGTTGCATGCCGGGCGTTGTAGTATGGGCCTTGCCCCCGTTTGCCCAGGGCCTTCGCTCTAAGGGGCAAGGCGGTGGGGAAGCGGGGCCTTGGAGCAGTGACCCTGCGCCCATCTCCTGCTGCTGTAGCCGGGGCCTGCACCACCCACCCTGTCAGCACAGGACTGGTCGCCATGGGCTGGGTAGCGCTTGAGTGAGCCGGGCGCCAGCGTGGGCACGGGGTGCTGCCCTCACATACAACCTACATCCTCTCTGCCCCCGCTCCCCGCACAGCACGTGTAGCCAGAGCTCTCCCGTGCAGCCTCCCAGCGCCGCCCACTTTAACCCATCTTGCCCCGGGAGAGTGGGGGGACACGCTGCATCTCACTGCCGAGAAGTGAGTCCGTGTTTGCAGTTCTGTTGCATGGAGAGGTGTAGGCCACGGGACTCCCTGATACTTGGAACTAGAATTGTAAGCTAGGGCCTGTTGTCTCCATGGGCACTGGAGGCAGTCTCCCTTTTTCCTAATTTCATGCAGTCTTCCTATTCCTGGCAAATTGTCAGCATAACCCCTCCAGTTAGTTAGGGCATTCCCTGCAGTGGAGGCTGGAGAACTAGAATCATGGGGGTGAGATAAACTGAACCTAAACAGCCGGTACTAGCTCATGCATGGGCCTTGGTGCCAAAAGCAGCCCTACATTTAGTTATCTGTCTCTTAACAGGAAAAAAATTCAAAGGAAACCCTCAGATTTGGCAACACTGGAGTGGTGGGATTCTCTATATTCTTAATTTTTTTGTAATGCTCTACCTACAGTAAGAAGGGTTTTCAATATGCATTTAGCAGCTAGGTCTTGATTTTTGGGATATAGGTGGACACTTATATTGGACTGTTAATCCAAGCATGACAAAGCATTCTACAAACTGATTTAAAAACCATAGTATTGCCATCTCCATCATTACAAATTTAATTCCTAAACATTCCCTCACCCAGGGACCTTTCATTGGCCTGGTCTACACTACAGAGTTAGGTTGATGTAAGCTGCCTTGCCATCGACCTAACAATGGAAGTGACTACGCTTAAAATTTCGCTCCTGCAAACTTAGGGTACATCTACACTACAGGGGGGAGTCGATTTAAGATACGCAAATTCAGCTACGTGAATAGCGTAGCTGAATTCGACGTATCGCAGCCGACTTACCCCGTTGTGAGGACGGCGGCAAAATCGACTTCTGCGGCTTTCTGTCGGCGGCGCTTACTACCACCTCCGCTGGTGGAGTAAGAGCGCCGATTCGGGGATCGATTGTCGCGTCCCAACGGGACGCGATAAATCGATCCCCGAGAGGTCGATTTCTACCCGCCGATTCAGGCGGGTAGTATAGACCTAGCCTTAACTGCCCTGCTACACCAGCTTAATAACGCCACCTCCGTGAGTGGCGTAGAATCAAAATCAATGTAGTTAGGTCGACGCAGTGTCAGTGTAGACCCGATGTTGCTTGCGTAGATGGTTACTGGCTTTCAGGAAGCTTCGCACAATGCCCTACGATAAAATTGATACAAGCGCTGCTGGTAAGGACATGCACCGATGATGCAAGGAGCGAAGTGTAGACACACACAAGCAATGCAATTTCTGCAGTGGCTGTATGCCGATGTAAATTAGGTCGACTTAATTTTATAGTGTAGACATGGCCCTAGAGAGACAGCATTTCCTGGTTCTGAAGTTGGAGCTAGTATACCCATAATATTTCCATTAAACCAAAACATCTTCAGTTTAAGGTTTTTCTTTTCTTTTTAGTATTAGTTTCATTAACTCGGATAGAAATGGTTGTAAACTCTCTTGTTTAAAAAGGCCTAGTTGTGTCTTGGTTTAGGAATAGTAATATAATGCGAGGAATGTAATACAGTGTGTTCATCTGGCAGGGTCATAGAAAAATGAATATACATTGTGGAATTATATTTTAATGATGTGATGCTTTTTAACAGCATGCACTTGGCACTGTGGTGGCTGCTACTAAGGCATCTAATGGGCTCCCTCAGCCTGGAGATGAATATGACTTCTATCGCAGTTTTCCTGGATTCCGGGCATACTGTGAAACGCAAGGTGACAGGCTGCTTCACTGGTAAGGACATTTTGGCTTTCTTGTGTCAGTGGTGAAAACCTAGCGATAGGGAAGAGTGAGGGGCAGAGAATTCTCTTCTCTGCAAATTTCAAAATAAAACAATATATGAGCATTTTTTATTACGTATATTTCATCTGTATTTAACAATGTGTCAGCTGCTTTTCTGATACATGAAATTTAAATGGTAATGATAAAAATTGAGTCATTCAATTTACCACTGTAAAGTAGCTGTAACAATTTAGGTGAAGAACTGAGCAGGTGAGGGCTGATGGAAAAGTGACTTCCTAACCAGATGGCCCAATCTAAGTTCCATAGACCCAGTGGAAATGAATAGCAATACTTAGCACTTTCTCAGAGCTTCTCATGTTCAAAGCTCTTACAACAGTATCTAAAGGATCTGTATTTGATTTTGCAAACCTCAGAGTAGCCAGAGCTCAGGGAGGATCTTAATTGGTCCAGTCTTTAGTATACCTGCTTTTAATGTCATTTAAAGAGTAACTAAACTATTCTCTTGTTAGTATGAGCAAGGTGATGCAGTATCATGGCTGTCGCAGTCACATCAAGGATCGCAGCAAAGCAACAGAGCTGGAAGATAAATTTGATTTGCTGGTTGACTCCAATGATGTCATTCTTGAAAGAGTGGTGAGTAAACTTTCCCTGAGTTTTTTGTCTTGTAACCATTCAGTGGATCACTCTTTCTACAGAAATTGAAATGGCAATATTTAGCAATTACACATTGTTCTTCACTTTTAGATCTCTTTCATTTTAAACATTTATTCTCTTATAGTCACTATTTCTTAGGTATCTCTTGTTGTTGTTTGTTTGTTTTTGTTTTGTTTTTTAATTACAGCCTCTATTTTTTACAGGCTATTTTTCTCAGCTGTTTGTCACTTTTTTTGTATTTCAAATCACAGCAGTAGGTTGGAACTGAGCCTGTAAGGACGAGAATGATTACTTGTATGACAGCAGCACCTAAGGGCTCCAACTGAGATTGGGACCCATCGTATTAGGTGCTGTACATACACACAACCTGTCCCTTGGCTGAAGAGCTTGCAATCTAAATAGAATGGACAAAGGGCGGAAGGTTAAGCAGAGACACAGAAAAGTGACATGATTTGCCCTAAGTGTCACAGCAGAAGGAATAGAAACCAGGGCTCCAACTGTTCCTGAAAAACAGAGACAGTCAATCAAACCTTTCCATTGCAAATGAGGAAGAGAAGGCTGCCTGTGTGGGTGCCAGAGCGGATATATCATATACTATCCCAGGAGAGCAAGGGGGCTGGAATAATTACCCCAGCCATAAAGAAGCAAACAGGCTGGCAGCTGATTAAACTGACATGCGGCTGAGAGCAGAGACCTCAGGACCAGTCACATTCCAAAGTAAAGTCTCTTAAACCAGTCATTTAAATCAGTGCTTCCCAGACCCCAATAATGGCACCTTGGGCTTTGGTGCTGTAGCCTCCCACAGCTTTATTCTCTGCTGCCTGGAACCTCATGCAGTCATTTACACTTGTGCAAAGTGAGTGTGAAAGACGCCTAAGAAAGGCCATTGCATCTGGGGCTGAGAATCTGGAGATCCATGTTCTATTCCTGGCTCTGCCATTGACCTGTGGTGTGACCTTGAGCAAGTCACATCACCTCTCTGGGCCTCAGTTTTCCTTCCAAACTTTTGTCTATTTAGACTGTCATCTCTTCGGGTCAGGGACTGTCTCTTACTATTTGCCTGTACTGTGCCGAGCATGATATGTCCCTGAGCTCAGTTGGGGTCTCTAGATGGTGTCATAATGCAAAAAAAAATAATAATAAATAAAATAACCTGATTCCCAGGCCAGTGCCTCAGCCACTAGAAGACAGTGCCACTATAACAATGGTTCATTTCTCAGCAGGGCTGAGAGTTGTTTACTTATCATGCTCTGCCAAGCAAATTAGATGCAAGACTAACTCTGTGTTGGCCCAGTCTAAAAACTGGGCAGAGTGGAGGATAAGATATGAGAGGAGAGTGTGGGACTAGGATGATCGGCACATGAATACCTCTGAAGAAACTCTCCTTTGATTCCTTGGCAATTGCTTCTCCTAATCCCTAAAATTAGAATTCCTTACCTAGCCTTTGGCCACTCTTGCCCTTTACAAAATTCGGAGTTGGTGAGCTTGGAAGCAGCTGCACATTTCTCTCCTTTCAGTCAGGCTAGACTGCCAAGTACAGGATGTTTCATACAGTTTTGCTTAAGCTTCTTTTCCCGAATTTCAGGGTATTTTACTGGATGAAGCAGCAGGAGTGAACAAGAACCAGCAGCCTATCCTCCCTGCAGGGATGCAGCTCCCAAAGACAATTGTTTCCAGCTGGAACCGTAAGGTGAGACTTCGACAGTCAGCTTATTTTAATTAACTTGAGCTATTTGTGTAGGCTTGAGTTGTAGTGATGGTGGTTGGGAGTTCAGTAACCCAACGTCCCTTTAGATTTCTGGTTGTGCTTCCCCTTTCTTCACTCCAGATTCAGGATCTCTGGGTTTCTGATCTAGATTTCATGCACACAGATCTCTCTCTAACCTGAATTCAGGGCCCCAGGGCACCTAATTTAGATGCTATTGTATGGACCTTAGATACTGTGCTCTAATTTCAGGGGAGTTTTTCATTATTGTGTCTGGAGTTTAATATTCAAATGCATATAGAGTGAGTCTTAATAGACTATCTCAAAATCCATTCAAATGTGTTTTTTAAACAGAGTGGAGAATCCCACAGAACAAAGTCTGAAACCTTCCGATTGCTACATGCCAAGAATATCACTCGACCACAGCTCAAATTTCGAGAGAAGATTGACAATTCCAACACTCCCTTTGTACCTAAGCTTTTTGTCAAACCCAACGCTCTGAAACCGCTGCCTGAAGGTAAGAAGGCCAGAGCAAGAGGGCTTCATTTGCCTTGGGTAGCATATAATAATAATACCACCTAGCGCTTATTATTATTAGGGCTGTCAAGTGATTAAAAAAATCACGATTAATCGTGCTGCTAAACAATAATAGAATACCATGTATTTAAATTTTTTGGGATGTTTTCTACATTTTCAAATATATTGATTTCAATTACAACACAGAATACAAAGTGTACAGTGCTCACTTTACATTTATTTTTGATTACAAGTATTTGCACTGTAAAAAAACAAAAGAAATAGTATTTTTCAATTCACCTAATAAAAGTACTATAGTGCAATCTCTTTCTCATGAAAGTTGAACTTACAAATGTAGAATTATGTACAAGAAAACTGCATTCAAAAATAAAACAATGTAAAATTTTAGAACCTGCAAGTCCATTCAGTCCTACTTCTTCAGCCAATCGCTCAGACACAGAAGTTTGTTTACATTTGCAGGAGATAATGCTGCCTGCTTCTTGTTTACAATGTCACCTGAAAGTGAGAACATGTGTTCTCGTGGCACTGTTGTCGCCAGTGTCGCAAGATATTTATGTGCCAGATGCGCTAAAGATTCATATGTCCCTTCATGCTTCAAACGCCATTCCAGGGGACATGCGTCCATGCTGATGACAGGTTCTGCTCAATAAGGCCTGGTCTACACTGGGTGGGGGTCGATGTAAGATATGCAACTTCAGCTACGGGAATAGCGTAGCTGAAGTCGACATATCTTATTTCGACTTACCTCCCTTCCTCACGGCGCGGGATCGATGACTGCGGCTCCCCCATCAACTCCGCTACCGCCGCTCGCCTTGGAGTTCCGGAGTCGACGGGAGCGCGTTCGGGGATCGATATATCACGTCTAGACAAGACACGATATATCGATCCCCGATAGATCGATCACTACCCACCGATCCGACAGGTAGTCTGGACGTACCCTAACAATCCAAAACAGTGCGGACCGACGCTTTTTCATTTTCATCCTCTGAGTCAGATGTCACTATCAGAAGGTTGATTTTCTTTTTTGGTGGTTTGGGTTCTGTAGTTTCCACATCGGAGTGTGGCTCTTTTAAGATTTCTGAAAGCATTCTCCACACCTCATCCCTCTCGGATTTTGGAAGGCACTTCAGATTCTTAAACCTTGGGTCGAGTGCTGTAGCTATCTTTAGAAATCTCACATTGGTACTTTCTTTGCGTTTTGTCAAATCTGCAGTGAAAGTGTTCTTAAAATGAACAACATGTGCTGGGTCATCATCCAAGACTGCTATAACATGAAATATATGGCAGAATGCGGGTAAAACAGAGCAGGGGACATGCAATTCTCCCTGTCACAAATTTAATTAACGCATTATTTTTTTTAACGAGCATCATTAGCATGGAAGCATGTCCTCTGGAATGGTGGCCAAAGCATGAAGGGGTATACGAATGTTTAGCATATCTGTCATATAAATACCTTGCAATGCCGGCTACAAAAGTGCCATGCAAATGCCTGTTCTCACTTTCTGGTGACATTGTAAATAAGAAGAGGGCAGCATTATCTCCTGTAAATGTAAACAAACTTGTTTGTCTTAGCAATTGGCTGAGCAAGAAGTAGGACTGAGTGGACTTATAGGCTCTGAAGTGTTACATTGTTTGTTTTGTTTGAGTGCAGTTGTGTACCAAAAAATCTACATTTGTAAATTGCACTTTCACAACAAAGAGATTGCACTATGGTATTTGTATGAGGTGAATTGAAAAATGCTATTTCTTTATCATTTTTACAGTGAAAATATTTATAATCAATAATAATATACATTTTAAATTACAACACAGAATACAATATGTATGAAAATGTAGAAAAACATCAAAAATATTTAGTAAATTTCAATTGGTATTCTATTGCTTAACAGTGAGATTAAAACAGCGATTAATCGTGATTAATTTGTTTAGTCGCGATTAATTTTTTTGAGTTAATTGCAATTAATCAACAGCCCTAATTATTATTTTTATAATGAACATCAAACAGAAACCAAACCTCACAAGCCAAAAGAAATCATTGAATCTAAAGAACGTATATCTCAGAAGGAGACTAAAACCCTTTGGAAGTAGTAAGCGTGCCATTATGATGATGTTAATCTTATTAAAGGCAAGTCTGTATAAAATGTCTTGCTGTGGATGCACATGTAACAATCTGTAAAACAATGTATTTTGCAGCTAATCCTGCTCCCGCTAAAGTCAGGGATCAGGCTCTTATTGATGTCAAGAAGAACCAGGTCCTGCGTAAATGCAGTTGAGCTTAGAAGAAATAATGGGTTATTTTACTGGTATAGTGAAAAAAAGGTTAGATGTGAGCTTCTTTGCTTTGGCTTCCTTAACCAAATAGTTGGCACAAGGCAACCAAAAGCTTCAGTAGTTCTTCTCTTCCTCTCCCCGCCACACACGCACACAATAACATCCCACATCTTTGGGATCTGTCTTCTGTTGTTTAATCAGCATTTCTCCATTAAAATGCAATTGCAGTTCTAGTTGCTAACAGTTGATTTGACTTTCGTTTATTATTTTTCATCACTTTCTAATAGCAAATATAATGGAGGTAGAGCTGCTAGTTACCTTTCCATTGCAGAGCAGCGTTTGGCAGCCAGAATTATTCATCTTTGGGATGCTCGCACCAAGTGATTAAATTTAAAAAATGTCTTGTTATATTAGCATTGCGCATCTTACTTAATCTTTGCAGGGTGACATATGTTCTTGTCATACCTATTCCTGAGTTATAAAATGAGGCACAGATAGAAATCTTGTGTTTAAAAGCAGTAGGCCAGGAGTGTTTAGGGTTTTATAGTACTTAATGATTTTAATGGGTTTTAGGTTAGGCATTGAGGAGAGAAACTTGAGTTAGGAATACACATTATTTGTACAGCGTTGTCTAATTTTTTCATCTTGGTCATTCAGCACTCGCAAAAAGCAGGCGGGAGCGAAAGGAGCGTCCTGAGGACTTGGATGTACCGGCTGCTCTAGCCGATTTCCTCCATCAACAGAGAACTCAGCAGACTGAACAAGACATGTAAGAAATTAAATAGGCAACAGGATGCTGGAAATACACTAGATTTATATGCATTTTGTATGCAATCCTTTTATGCGTGTACCTGTCACATGCAGCACCTTATGTGACTCTTCTCTGTGTCTGTGCACATGCATGCTTCTTCACTTATAGCTGCCTCCATATATGTTCATCATTTTTTTATACCCATGCATAACAAATCTGCCCTGTGCTAGGATTTCTGGTCAATACTAGGCAAACTGGTGGCTCACAAAGAGTATCTCTTGGAAACTACTTCCTGTGGCTTGGTGAAGTTGATTGGAATGATACAGATTCCTTTTTTGTTATTTGTGCAGGTTTGCTCATCCTTACCAGTATGAACTGGAGCACTTTGTTCCACCAGATGAAGCTCTCGAGAAACCACAACTCCAGGTTAGTGCCCAGGTTAAATTAGCATTCGAATCTAGAAAAAATGTTGGAAGAAGTAGATAATCAGTTTGCAGTAGACCCTGCTTGTAGCCTAGTTATGATTGAGGGGAGCAGTTACAGCCTGTGATAGCAGTGTTTAATTCAGAAACTTTTGGGTATTCTGGGAGGAAAGCACTATGTCCCCACAAGTGGTATCTAATAACTTGCCTTGTCAGATGTACAGGCCTGTTGAGGACACACCCTGCCATTTTATCTCCACCCTGGATGAGTTGGTAGAACTGAACGAAAAGCTTGTAAGCTGCAAAGAATTTGCTGTGGATTTGGAGGTAAGTGTGTTGCTCTTTGTTTCAAATTACATATGCTGAGTTAGCACTTAGCAGGTCACATTATACTATTATCCATCATCTTTTGCTTTGTGTACTATATCCTTTTTATGTTGAGTTAGGTGATATGTCCCAGGTCTGATGTGGGAAGCTTGCTACATTTTATTATTCAGAAGGCTGCATGGAATTTTAACTTCTCAAACTTTATTCTATTATAATAAGCTTTATATTGAATTTAGTATGTTTTGAATTTTTCCTATGATCCTCTGGGTTATGTTGAGATCCATGGAAAGGACCAACTTCAAAATTAATTCAGATGATGTATTATTAAAACAGTAGCAATGATTGCAAAGACCTGAAATCTGTACGTGTCATTAACTTTTGTCTAGAGGCATTCTTCATTCATTTATTGTCATCTTTTCCTCTGCTTTTGGTCATTCTGTGTTTCATAATACCACTCCTGCAGGGGCTCTGAGTTAACTTCTGTCCTTTGTCTGGTAGCACCATTCCTATAGGAGTTTCCTGGGCTTGACATGTCTGATGCAGATTTCCACCCGGATGGAAGATTTCATTATTGACACTCTGGAGCTACGTAGTGACATGTATATTTTGAATGAGGCCTTCACGGACCCTGCTATTGTGAAGGTCAGTAGACTCTTCCAACCTATTCAGAATTATGCTGGATAACTTATTTTTGGCTTAACTCTGTCCAAAAACATGCTTTGTCCTCCTGCCCTGGCTACTCCCTCCTTCCGGGGAAAGGTTGGCACAAGTGGGAGAGCCATGGTATGGGCCTGATCCAATACCCATTGAAATCATTGGAAAGATTCCCCTTGACTTCAGTGAGCACTGAATCAGCCTGTATGACCTCAGGCCATAAGATGCTAGTAACATCTAAGTCACTGTTGTGAGAATGAGCACTGCTTAGTTGGTAATGGCCCAAAAATGGATATGACCACCCATCAGGAGGTCTTAGGCAGGTCTGTATCCATCAGACTGTGCTGGACACAAACCAGGTACCATTTCTGTTGTTCTTGATTGTAGGTGCTTTACTGACAAGTATGAAGACAAGGTCCCGGCCCCAAAGAGCTTGCCCACTAGATAAAAATGTGTAAACACAGGAGGGAATGGATGGGGAGCATCATAAGCAATGTCACTGAACAGTTAGCAGGCATCTTCTCAGCTCCAAAGCTCTTGGGTTTTACTATCTATTTTGGGAAGTGGGGGCAGGGGAGAAATACTTTTTCAGTAGTTTACCAGTTGTCTGTTGAGAGGGCTGAGTGTGGAAACATGGTCTGGGTGAAACCAAGTACTTGCTGTTATGCCACTGACAGTGGAAGGAGAAATGCCAGCAAAGAAACATAACTTTCTAACTCTGGTGCTTCAGTGCTTCAGGCCCCTAAGTGGAATTGGTTATCCTCTCATCCCAAGTGCTATTCCACATTCCACTGTCTCACATTCTTGTTTCTGATGCATTTGATTGTGTTGCCTTACAGGTCCTTCATGGTGCCGACTCAGATGTGGAGTGGCTACAGAAAGATTTCGGTCTGTACTTAGTGAACATGTTTGATACTCACCAGGCTGCCCGTCTCCTCAACCTTGGCAGGCACTCCCTGGACCACCTGCTAAAACTCTATTGCCATGTGGAAACTGACAAGCGGTATCAGCTGGCTGACTGGAGGATTCGGTAAAAGTTTTATCCTGATGTGTTGGCATTAGAGTTAAGAGTCAAATTCAGGACTTGTTTGCATGTTAATGGGTGACTGTTTCACTTCTCAACCGACCCCCAAACCACATAGCTCACTGGGATTTTTGGTTAGTACTGTGGTGGTGGTGAACTGGAATAAAAGGGACAGGCTTCAAAACAGAGCTGAAATGCATTAGCAGATTTGTTGAATGGGGTTGAGATTAGTATGTACAGCACCTGCCTATGGTACACTGTGCTTGGCTGTCTATTTCAGCCCCTTACTTTGATGAGCACTAAGTTCTCTCCAAATGCTGTAATATGTGTTTTTTAAAATCAGCGAAACAAAAGACTTTTGGAAGCTGACTTAATGCAATAGGAACAGTGCATAACTACAGTGTAATGTTATGACAAAAGCTGCCACCTCCTTGAAGAAGTAATTGCTGCCACCTTCCCTGCATTGCTCAGCCTAGCATTCTAAAATTGCAATTCTGTTATAACAGATGCACCACTAAAAAAATTCTAACTTCCAGACAAAACTGCTATGTAAACCAGTACAGGGTCTGAATGATGGATTCTAGCTTGAGAATGATCTCTGCAGTGCAATCTCTCCTGGCCTACGAAGAGCACAGGTGTGGTACATAGGCTGTGCAGGCGCACAGTGGTAGCCACATTACTATACAAGGTACCCCCTGCCATCTGATTGAATGGCTGCCCTGGGGATCCTGGTCTCCCAGATATAGGCAAGAGGTCAGATGGAGAAAATCATTGTAATGGTGCCCACAAATGAGATTTTGGTGAGAGGAATCCATAGAATTCCTGGATTCGTTCTTGGGAGTAGACCCAGATGTAGCTTGTCTTTACGTGCTGTGGCAGAGGGCACTGCAAGGATGAGGGATGGGGTACTATAAAACATTTGTGCAACACTGATAGTTCTCTGCTTCCAGCCCTTTGCCAGAGGAAATGATCCAGTACGCCCGAGACGACACTCACTACCTGCTCTACATTTATGATAAAGTGAGAGAGGCACTATGGGAGAGAGGAAATGGACAGCCCACTCAGCTGCAGGTGGTGTGGCAGCGCAGCAAGGACATCTGCCTGAAGGTAAATCTTCACCTGGGGACTAATTATCTGGGTCAGAATACAGACTGTCTAGGATGGGAAGCACCCCAGGTTGGGCCTGGCCCATTCCCTACCTTCTGGCAGAATCCCTAATTTTCAATATGTATATCAGGAAATAGTCTTACAGCCTTACTCTCTCTCCATTCCCACCTAGTGTGGGCTCAGCTGTTCCACTAGCTAAGGGACCTCTAGATCAGTGGTTCTCAACCAGCGGTCTGGGGGGCCACAAGCAGGTTTCAGGCCAGTGTTAGACTCGCTAGGGTCCAGGGCAGAAAGCCGAAGCATGGGGCTGAAGCCCGGGGCCCTCAGCCCCAACGCCCGGGGCTGAAGCCAAAGCCTGAGCAAAGTAGCTTAGCGAGGGCTCTTGTGGCATGGGGCTCCAGGCAATTACCCTGATTGCTACCCCCTAATGCCGGCCCCGACTTTTATATGCAGAAAACCAGTTATTGTGGCACAAGTGGGCCGTGGAGTTTTTATAGCATTGGGGGGGGGGTCAGAAAGAAAAAGATGGAGAACCCCTGCTCTAGATGTCCTAGACCTTTTGTTCTCTTCAAAACCGCTGCTGCTGATCCACATCAGCCTGCAGGTGTCAAGAGACTGAAACTTTTCAAGTGAGTCAATATTTACTCACATTTCTCTGGATAGCCCGAATAAAAGCCCCGGATATTGGAGCACACTGTAACTTTATGACAAATGTACACTGCCAAGTGAACACTAGTGAGAACAAGAGGTGGGTAGTTTTCTAATCGACCAAGACTTAAAGATCTGGTATGTCTATGGATGCTCTTGGACTTGAAAACTTCCTTGCCTCATGTATCCGAATTAAAATGAAAAAATGAGCGTGGCTGGAACTAAAACATAAACAGTTGTCAGCCCCAAATGCTTACGGTAAAAACCTCAAGTGGCTCCTCAGTCCTGACTTCCTGAGCCACTGTTGCAAACCATCCAGTCCTCTCTTGTGTGCTTGATTCTCTGTGCTAGAGAGAACACCCTCTGGGAAGTGCCAAAGGGAGTTGGTACATGACTCTGTTAGAGAGATTGGTGATCAATATCAAATTCTTCCTGTTCAGAAATACATCAAACCCATCTTCTCAGAGGACACCTATCTTGAGCTCTACAGGAGGCAGAAAAAGCATCTCAACACGCAGCAGCTAACAGCTTTTAAATTGCTATTTGCCTGGAGGGACAAGATGGCACGCCAAGAGGATGAGAGTACAGGGTAGGAAGTCGTTCATTAGACACAGTTTTAAATGGATCTCTGCAGAGTGGTGCAGCTCGTCGAAAGAAACACTGGATCTGCTAAGAATGGTTGATTTGGGTGCTTCCTGTGTATCTAAGACACTATCCAGTGAAAGGCGCCGCACTTTAGTTGCACCACTTCCTCCCTGTTCCTCTGACCCCCGTAAACCCCAGATCAGAAATCACATCGGGGGAGGGAGGAGTTGCCTCTATGGTTTTCTAGATCAATCCTGATTTATTTCTCCTTAACTGACCCTAACTCTTAAGAACTTGGATCCAGTGCAAAATGATACATAAGGTGTTTGGTTTTTTTTCCCCTCCCCATTAAATTTCTCTATAAACAAGTCTAACATTAACACAATTACCATGATACCAGTGCTACTGCTCTTTATGTTGCAGGTATGTGCTACCAAACCATATGCTACTGAAGATAGCAGAGGAGCTGCCCAAGTACGTATTGGTGCCTTTTGGGGTTTTTTGTTTTTGTACAACTCTGAATGTAATTTGCTTGTCCCAGGTCCCAGTTGATCCCAGGTCCATCAGTCAGCTGGGTTTTCCTCTTACCTTGTTTTATTTTATTTTTTTTACTTCTGTGGTTAGCTTGTTGCTCCCAGTAATTAGCACTGCTTTTGCCTTTAGTTCTTCAAAGCAGAGAAATTCCATGCACAAAAGAATTAAAATGCTAAACTCTTCTAGCATAAGCCAGATGGCTATGAAATACATGTGTCTTTGTGTTAGGAATACACCGCCTACTATGCAAAACATGGTCACACTGCTGCCAGTCATTGCATCTCCCTTCTTTTTTGAGCTCTCCATCAGTACTCTATAGTATACACCTAGGTGTTGGTTCAGTTTGTAAAGGAAAATGTGTAGGTGCCACATCCCTCTCATGTCCCCCACGACATTCTCCTGTAAACAAGATTTTTTTCGGAGGGCTTGGTATTCACAATTTACCATCCACACTTGAAAGGAGATAAAACTGCATCTGTGATTTCAAAACCCTCCACACTCCCTCTGTAAGAAAAATAGATATTGGACAAGGAGAGAAATTAAATCTGGATGCAGAAAGAACACGGGAGGGCTGAGCTAATGGGCTTTCCTTATGTGCTCAGACGTGGTATTGACACATTTTGTAGTTGTACTGGATAAACAGTGATGACTAATCTGATTTGCCTTACTCAGTGAAGCGAGGCCTCTGATTACATCTGGTTGACTGTCCTTTGCATGTGGAGGTTTGATTTATTAGCTGTATATAGCAAACTCGGTTTCATTCATTATGTCTTTAGAGAACCCCAGGGCATCATTGCTTGCTGCAACCCGATCCCACCACTAGTCCGCCAACAGATCAACGAAATGCATCTCCTCATCCAACAGGCCCGAGAGATGCCTCTGCTCAAGGTACAAAGATCTTCTGCCAACACATAACAAAACTCAAAAGACGTGGACTTTATTGTGGAATATCTCTTGCACCTTGTCTTCCAGAGGTTCCTATTGATCTCATAGGTTTTGAAATCTAGAAATAGTCTACACGCAAGGCTATAGTGCAAGGCTGTTGCTGGGGATTGCCATTTGTGTGTGAGACAGTAACCTCACTTTGAAGCCTGAGTACTGTACAGTATGCTAGAGTGCACATAGAAGCACTTCCTATAGGCATTTCTTCCTACCCCCGCAATGAAATCTCACTGCAGACTTCAATGTAGTTCAGGCCCTTAAGGGAACTAAGGGAGTAACACGGTAGAAATATTCAGTCTTGAGCAAAGCAATCAACTGTGAGGTTTCTGGGGCATAACCCCTATTCTGCCTTTATGCACACATCACATTTACCTACAAAAGGAATAAGAGCTTGTTGGATGCACATAAGAAATCACCAATGACAAAGCCCACACAACTGGCACAGCAGAAACCTACACGCAACCTAGAGGCTTGGAATGAGGTTTAATAAAGGTCAGCACATACCTGCTGTTACTACAGTGGAGCGCATCCTCCGACAGGGAAATTAAGCTATTCCTGAGCACAAACACAGCCTTGCTATGTGAACAGCATCGTAATTTTGCCTATCCTCACACAGACTCGCACCCCCAGGAGGGAAATGTAGAACTGTTCTTCTGCTAGCTGTGTTGAAAATGTTGGTAGGGGGAAGCTTGTGCCTGCTGGACTAGATACTTCAAAGTTAACCATTAGTAATTTTCTTATTTTTTCTCCCCCCCCCCCCTTAGTCTGAAACTGCAACAGCGGTGAAGAAGAAAGGGTCTCTACCCAACCCAGAGGTACTATCTGTGTCATGCTAAGCATGCTAATGTGTTAAACCATAAACTCATAGAAACTGCTATAGCAGAGTTCCATATCGTGAAGCATGAAGATTGTAATTTTATTCTAGCTAGTTATACTAAATCCACTGACTAGTTTTTTCCATTTGACAAACATGTCCCTCTGTTAACCCAGTTTTATCCTTGTGTGCTATAATGCTTGTAAAACTACCAGTCATGAGTCAATATTTTAAAAGCTCCAAGCAAGACTATAGTAAATAAGTCTTCCATCAGTAAACGCTACAGTTGCTGGACAAAGTTTTGTGTTCGTTTGTTATAATCTCTATTGACTGATTTTAAGAAGGAAAATTTCAGATGAGTTACTACAGCTGTCCCAGTCATCTACCTTGTGTCTATGAAGCAAAGCATTCTTAATAGCCATTTGCACAGCCATCCTTTTGGTGTCGGATTCATTGTGCAATTTAAGATGAGCTATATTAGAAATACTTAGCCTCAGAACATGACCCATACATTTAAATTGTGATTAGCCTGTCATTTTCCACTCTAACAACAAGGAGTCTGGTGTTGTTTTTGTAGATACAGACTAACACGGCTACCCCCTGATATTTTCCACTCTGTAAATTCTCCTAAAGCATCCCAGAGCAAGGTTCTGTATTGATCACATACGTAATTTGAATTTATTTGCAGAAGCTGGAGAATCATTTGTTTGGACCTCATGACAATTCACGCGTTCCTCTGGATGATATTCAGAACCTCTCAGTCTTAGGTAATTTGGGAAGGATGGGAGACAGCCTCTGACTTCTGCTAATATGGAAAAAAATCAAGTAGTTTTTTCTTTGACACCTTAAAATAAGCATTTCACCTTCAATGGAAGCTCATTTGCAGAGCCAGGGAGATCATAGCAGAACACAAATCCAATAGGAATGGAGTATTCAAAACCAGAAACTTCGTTTTCCTTTCTCTGCAGAACCTGCACCAGTTCTGGAATGCGGGAGCCTCTTTTCGGACAGCGAGGGGGAGATGGACGGCACAAGGATATTACCCAATTCCACATGTCTTGTTGCTACAGCCACTATCAGTATATTCAGTGTAAGCTCCAGTAATATGAAGGGGTCTGCATCTGAATTTTAGAAAATAAAGGTTTGATAAACTGGTGAAGCGTTCTAGTAATGCTGCACAAAAGGTAGCTGCAGAGGAATAGGGTATTCCTGGAGATATTGCTGTGCTCCCTGTCAGGTGTACAGCATAATCAAGTTCAGCAAGAAGGAAGCTGGCAAGTGGATTAGCTCTTCTTATAGTCCCAGGGTCACTGCCCACACTGGACCTTGAGGTGGATTAGGAGATGATACTGCGATAACCTGAGGAGCCCAGAAATACAACTGAAAATTCACCTACTACTAAAACAAGCAGCAGGTGTGAAATGGGTCCTGTTAGAGAACAGAACTTTCTAGGCTTGTCAAGTATAGAAGTAAAATTCAGTACTGCCTCAGTTCCCCATCTCGCTTCCCTCCATTCCCCCTTTTTCTCTGTTTTCCCCCGCCTGCCGCCGCTGCAAGTAAGCGAAACCTAGTTGATGATGTTTCCGTTTTTGACACTAGGGGATATCCTAAATATCTTTGGCTTTTACTAACGCTACTAGCCCTTAAAAGCCTCAGGTCACATATCCTGTGTTTCAAACAATGCTGGACTCATTGTCTATATACAATCTGTAAGTAACTTTTATGTATTTTATATGCTAATGGTTTTTCTGCATTCCTTAAGGAGCCTGATGTGGATGAAGGGAATGAGAAGAACTTAACAGTTGCACAGCAGAAGGCTCAGCGCATAATGGAGTCCTTTGAAAATCCGTTTAGAATGGTAAAGGGCAGTGTATATACTTTGTAGTGACAGCTGGTAAATTGAGCAATATCGTGGGTCCCATAAGAGCAGGAGTTTTCACAAGGCAGGGTTAGTAAAGCCTAGCATGAAATCAGCTACTGCTCAGTTACTGGAATCACAAGGTTATATGCTTAGATGTATTTTGCAAGGAAAACAATGGGATTTGGTTTTGAAACTTGTAGAGTGGATATTAAGGAGGCACTTCAACAGGTTAAAAAAATCGTATGTTTTTAAAAGCTTAAACTTTTGTTGGATACCTTTAAAACCATTTTTTAATCTAGTTTTTCATCTTTGACTGTATTTTACGTCTCTCAGCTTGATGGTGAAAATAAACTAGTCAGTTCTCTCTTGATCTGAATCTATTTCATTTCTGGTTTGCCATGTTCTAAAATGTATTTTGCCAGTGTGTTTAGACTTGCAAACTGGAGGATAATGTAATCAAAAGTGTTTCCATTGGATTTACTTTTAATAGAAATATTTCTATTGGCCTCAAGCTTTGTAATTTTGGACAGGGGTGAACTGACATTCTTTTGAACCATTAGCTTTCTGTAGAATTGATGTTAAATGTGACCTTTTTTTCCAGTTAGCACCTACTAAGTGTGCATCTCAGCCGTCAGTGACTTCCCCTGACATGTATGCTGCCTGCACCCTGTAGCCTGCTGTGTTAAAAGAAATTTTTCTTTTCCTTTTCCCAGTATCTGCCCTCAGAACAGAATCCTGCCCACATCTCACAATCAGCAAAGTTTGACCCATCATCAAAAATTTATGAAGTGAGTGTCTACTTGCCAAATTTCCTGAAAACTGCTCAGCTCCTTGTGAAAGAACCAGGTGACAACAAATGAATTCCGAGTCCCCTTTGGAAGTTTCTGAGGGGCGTGAGATTACTTGGATTTACTTTTTTCCTTTTTGCTTCCCTTTCGCCTCAAAAAAGGGGAGACGTTTTTCAGACTTCTACAGCATTCCTCTCCTCCAAAGAACAAGGGAAACGCCAGCTCATATCTCCCACATTGTAAAACATTGAATTACAACTAGACACCATACCTGACCTGGATCCTTTGGTGCTAATTCATGTGGCTCAGGACTCTTTACAGAATAAAAAAAGTCATATTTTAACCATGGTTCATGCAACAAATTTTAATCTCCAGCGTAGTCAAATTTGGTGTTCTGTACTCCAAAATGAATGCCGGTGCAGGTCTGTAAACTCCTCCCCCTTCTGTCTGACTTCAGAGTGAGTGATCCTGGATGATTTTCTTTTGATGTAGATCAGCAATCGGTGGAAGTTGATGAGTCAGGCACAACTGCAGAAAGAGGCAAAGGAAGAAGCCAAAAAGAAAGCAGTACAGCAGAGAGGTAACATCCACTTTTTTGGACTGAGATTGAGGGGAGGGAAGGTGGATCTTCCAAACCCCCGAATGTCCCTTTCCCTGTAACACCACTGTTCAGGCCCTGCATCTTAACTACAGCCTTTTCAACCAAGACACTCTGAGCAAGAGTCCTTTCAGAGCCAGTCAAAACCAATTTTAGCTGATTTGGGTGGTTACCAGTGAATGACATAAGGTCCTCCTCTCCTTCCTGTCTTACCAGCAATACATCCGTAGTACTCCTTACCTTTACAGAGCATAAAAGGTCAGGACTGGAAATCAAATGCAGATCTGATTGTTTGGTAGTTCAGAGTGCTTGCATTAAAACTACCATCATCATAACCCATAGTTTTTAACTAGAAAGTCTCCTTTCAGCATGGCAGGCCACCTCTTTCCTCTGTCTAATCCTTGTATATTTGTAATGGGCTAAAACATACTGCTGTTTGAAATGGAGAGATTGATGCAGTCAGTGGAACAAGGCCCAGTGTAAACTAGTGCTTTGCAAACTTCCATACACACAGCTCTTCCAGTGTGTTTCTATGCTAACATGCAGTATCCCTTTTGTTTGCGTATTAGCCATTCACTGACAAGAGACTGCAAATAGTGCTTAATTATATGTATTCCAGGCTGACTCCTCAAAATTCACTTCCTCTGTAACCAGTTCCACATAGAATGCAGGTATCCAGTGTTTGAAGGCTGGCACGTTAATCTGCACAGTTATTACCAAAAAACCCTTAACACTTCCCATTTTTGTTATTCCTCAGGTAGAGAAGGTGCTTAAGACTTTGGCAGAACAGTGATTAGTCAAGTATCAGAGGGGTAGCCGTGTTAGTCTGGATCTGTAAAAAGCAACAAAGAGTCCTGTGGCACCTTATAGACTAACAGACG